TCTAATTGCCCCAGCAACATATATTCTATACTATGCAACTACCTAAAGGACAGGCGACTCTTAGCCGTCCACAATGCTGGAATCTTGGATATGGTACAAACAAGAGGATGTCCACAAGGGTCGTGCGCGGGGCCACACTTATGGAACATAACGTTTAATGAAGTGCTCTCTGCTGCCGCATGGCCCGCGCACACCCAAATCTTCGCCTATGCTGATGACGCTGCAATGGTCGTCAAGGGACGGACTAGGGACGTTCTCCAGACAAACTGTAACGAAGTGTATCACATCTTTATGTCAGGTGCACCAATCTTAAACTAAAAATAGCAGATCATAAATCTAAAATCCTCTTGACCCCTAAGAAAGGCAGATCGCTTGCAGGACGCCCTGCGATCAAACTAAATGGGCAGAGAATTAAAATTGTGAAGACCTTGAAATATCTGGGTGTGACATTTGATACTAAAATGACGTGGATCCCCTACATTCAAGATCTCAAGCTAAGAACAAGTGCTATAGTTAAGCAAATGCGCCAGTTTTATGGTTATAAGTGGGGGCTGAATCCACACATACAAAAAGTGTTATGTACGACAGTAGTGGAAAAGATTATAGCTACATATACGCAGCAGCAGTTTGGTGCCACCCAATTGCAGGGCAGGAAGATTAAACATCTTTATTACCATACAACGGCCCTTTCGCATTGGGCATTACAAGGGCCTACCGTACAACCTCATCGGATGCTCTTAATGTATTAGCTGGTCTACTCCCACTACACATACGAGTTGAAGAAGAGGCGGCCAGACAGATTATACTGCAACTCAAAAAGCCAACTGTGTTTGAGAGGAATGCTTCCATCCGGAAGAATATGAAGTCATTGATCGACTACTGTATGTCCACCCAGCGAGCAAAGGCACTGGTGTCAAAGTCACCATCAACCCGTCTACGACTAATTCCCCAACACTATTTAACATCTTCACCGACGGCTCCAAAATCGATGAAAAAGCGGGATGCTCATACATAGTCATGCGACATGATACAATTCAAGCAAGATGGAAGGCACAACTGCGGCAGCATAACAGTGTTTTTCAAGGAGAAGCGATAGCAATTGCCCAAGCAGTTAAAACTATTTGCTCTCCTCTAACATCCATAATGCCACCATCAAAACCGACAGTTTGTCGTCGTTGCATGCCATCATGAACCCCAACCATGTCAGTAAAATAATACAGGGCATTCAAGCAAATCTGCGCCAATGCAACCTGCACATCAAGCTTGAATGGATCAAAGCACATGCGGGTCATCTCGGAAACGAGATGGCGGACCAACTTGCCAAAGAAGCGGCGTTAGGCCCGACAGACTTGCAGTTCAAAATCCCATGGCCGGTCACATTTCTAAAGAAGTCACTACGACTTAAAGCCATTGGCAAGTGGCAACAAGAATGGGATGACAGTACCACTGGAAGACGTGTCCACTACCACATCAGCTATGTGGACACAGAAACGGAACATTGCCAATACACAGCTGGTTAGGTACATTTCGGGACATGGACCTTTTCCTGTATACTTCTACCGATTTGGCATCTGTTCCTCAGATCAATGTACGTGTGGACACACAGGCTCCCCGGAGCACTACCTAACTTCTTGTCCACTCACAGAGGGACAACATGTTCCTATACCAACGACTAACAGACAGTCATTTTGTAAATTCCTTATTAAGCAGCGCCACTTAATCCAAAAAAATTGGACGTATGATGGATAAGCTGGCAGACCTAAACACAGACTTATGCCAAATATAGCAGTCCGCGCAGCCTAAGCACACTTGCATATACTCAATGCAATATGAACTGCATAACGTTACAAAACAGTTACAGTGAAATTTGTAATGAATGGACGCCTAAACTCTGCGTCTGATTTTACACCCAATATGCAAACCACATAGGCACATGTAATATTAAAACGCAATAGTATCTGTAAGTTTGTTCCAAATGTAATCTGCAAATTGCAAACTGTGCGTATGTGTGTCTAAGACAAAATGTGCTATACTACAGTTCAAATGTATTGATGTAACTCCAACATAGTAAGCGAAGCTATAATGTAACCAGTGTGTTCAAGTCATTGATTTATATGTAACGTGTGCTTAATGTAAATATAGTGTCTAAACTATTGATTGTACTCAGTATATGTTTTTTTTTATATTTATGATATTTGTGTATGTTTTTTATATTTTAGCATGGTTTCTTCATTCATATAACTGTCCAATGGTTTATTGTACCGATTTTATGTAACATATGCTTACTGTACCCATGATATCAGGGACTGTATTCTGTATTGTAGCATGCTCCCACATATGGTTATCCTATGCAATTTTGTGTAACTGTCTTCCATGCTTTACCCCTGTATGTATATAACTATGTTCCATAGCATATTCTAACACGCACCTGTGAGGCGCAGTAAGTGAAGTTTTAACGCAACCAGAGTTTCTAGATATATATATATGTAAGATAAAAATATATGTTTGTTTAATGTAGACAAACTCAGTCATTGATTTTCATGTAATGTATGTGTAATGTATATATGATATCAGTGTTTGTATTTTATATTTAAGCATGTCTCTACATATGACTGTATCATGCCTTAATATGTAATTGCTTTTCATGTTTTACCCCTGCATGTACATGGCTATGTACCATGGAATATTTTAACATGCTCCAGAGTAGCGCAATAAGTGAAGTTATTGCACCCAGCATCTGAGTCTTTGATATATGTCAGGTTTAATGTAAACATAGTATCTCAGTCACTATTTTTTATGTAACATATGTTTAGTGTTTATATAATATTGTTTCCATAATCGTTATGTAACTCTCCACAAGTTTCATCCCCTGCATGTAAATAACTATGTACATAGATTATTTTAACGTGCCCCCTGTGTGGTGCAGTTAAGTGAAGATTTAATGCAACCAGTGCCTTCATTTTTGATATTTAGGCTACGCCTTTTTAATGTAGATATAGTATTTTAGACATTAAATTTCATGTAACGTGTGTGTAATGTATGTGTAATGTATCTAGATGTTTCCATGTAATGTATGTGTAATGTATCTATGATATCTGTGTTTGTATCTTATAATTCAGCATGTCTCCACATATGATTGTCTTATGCATTATTATCTAACTGTTTTCTATGCCTTACTTACCCCTGCACATATATAACCTTGTACCATAGAATACTTTAATATGTATGGTACATATTAAAGTAGCGCAATAAGTGAAGCTTAAAGCACAGCGTCTGAGTCTGTGATATCCATACAATGTCTGTCCAATGTAAACATAGTATCCATAGTTAATGTTTACGTAACAAAAGTTTAATGTATTTAGGATATTGGGTGTTAATAATTGTTAAGTAACTTTTTCCATGTTTTACCCCTGCATGTAAATAACTATGTACCATAGAATATTTTAACGCGCCCCTGTGTGGAGCAGTAAGTGAAATTTTAATGCAACTAGTGCCTCAGTCCTTGATATTTAGGTAATGTTTGATTAATGTAGGTATAATAGTATGTTAGTTATTGATTTTTATGTAACATATGTTTAATGTATCTATGATATCTGTGTTGGTATGTTATATTTCAGCATATCTCCACATATAATTGTTTTATATGCATTATCATCTTACTGTTTCCATATCCTACCCCTGCATGCATATAACCTTGTACAGTAGAATATTTTATCTTACGCCAGTCAGGCGCAATAAGTGAAATCTAATGCACCTAGGCGTCCGAGTCCTTGATATTTATATTGACACTGGTGGACGTGGCGCTACACCAATTAACCATATGGTAAAGGGGTGGTACCCACGTCCTCCGTCGCATGTCGCATGTCCTTGAAGGCAACCAGCAACCGAGTAAAACTGCTATGGCAAGCGGCCTGCTCCTAATCATTCCTTCCTCTCTCTTGCTTGGCAAAAAGCCACAACTTAAGTACTTGGCGTTCGCAAGACAAATTTGCATAAATAAGTTAAAGCTTTTAATTCTGGCCGGAAGTAGAAAATAAGAAGTGATAGTAAAGATTTAAAATAAAATAAACGTTAGTAAAACTTAAGATCCTTACACGTATAACAAAGTAAAAAGGCTGTAGTCAAAAGTAACATTATTGGTTATATTGCAAAAAAGTAACATTATTGTTTTTTTTAAGAAATGAACACATGCAATATTTACGAAAATTAAACACATACATAAACACATGCAATATTCACGAAAATTAAACGCATGCAAAAATACATGCGATATTCACGAAAATTAAACACATACATAAACATAATCAATAAATCCAATAATAAACACATGCAATATGCGAAACGCTCTCAAATAATACATGTGAATAAACACACGCAGTGTGCGTGCGATTAAACATACATGTGGATGTAGATCTGAATAAACACGTGCAATATGCATGTGATATGCATAATTGTTTGGATAATATACGCTTTTAAATTATCCGTGATCTGCATTCACGGCATCGAGAATAAATTTGTAGAATTTCGTTCATTTTTACTAATAGTCATTGTAATTTGTTAGCCTTTTCTGTCTTGTCCCATTCCTGTCGCTTTTCCTCGTCAGGATGTAAATTAGCTAGGGTGTACGAGTGCGTTTAAACTGATGTAGCGAAACATTTAGCAGAGCGTGGCTTCGCTACTGTGAGCGCAATTTGCTAGTTCTTCCCGCGGTTTACCTTAAATATCGGCTTCGCATTCTTGCCGCCGAATTAGTATCCTGCCGGTTCAATAAAATATCGTGTTCAATAATCGTGGTCTTTTATACTCTTCTCCTATGTTGTGTTCATCTTCAAGTCCCAAGGAAGTCCCAAGGAAAGAAGGAAAGTCCCAAGGAAGAAGTAGAACTAGTTATCTTTCATGATAGCAAAAAGAACTAGATCCCACAAACTGTACCAATCAAGTTGTTTAAAAATATAATTCATATTGAAGCTTTGGGAATAATAGAAGTTATGGTTATTTACCTGACAGCGAATGTTTTCTGTGAGGAGACAGCATCAGGGAACCAGTATGTTCATCAACTGTAAAAAGTCCTCGTCCTGCTTTAGCTTCATTAGGGAAAGCGACACTTTTGAGGATGTGGAAAGTGAGTTTCTCTTTTGTGAGCTGCCCTGTTGTCTCGTCTAGAACTTGAAGTCGATAGAAACTGGAGGCCACTGGGAAACCGTAAGGAAGATTCAACGATGCTGTGCCTTGTAGAAACGTGAGACAGTTAACTGAAATAAGAATATGTATACAAGGCTTTATGATCACTTTAGAAATGAAAGTATGTAGAAGTAAAAACCCTAAAATATATTACGTTTAGATAGTCACACTGAAGTAATATTAGATTTTAATATGTGGCATTATCTGTGCTATTTTCCTGCTAGTAAACTCAGATTCCCTAGCAAATCAAATAATGCTTTAAATTAAAACGCCCAACCAATGTATCTGTGAACTGTTCGATGTTTCTCCCTTATTTTCAATCCACAGTGATTTATCTCGAACAAATTTCTTGATGTCGTAATATTTACTGATGTTATCCCGTTGAAAGCAAGGCCTGAATTAAGTTCGTTTGCATGGATCAATAATTATATTAAGTCAACGAGCGCGTGAGCAGAACAATTTTCTTTACTGTGTACATCCATTAGCTTAAAGCAAGACACATGAGCATTATTTAAGTAGCGTGGATATATTAATGAAGACACAAGATTAGATTAAAGCACGACACACGAGAAATGAGCAATACATCGCCGAGACTCGAACATGGACTTTTCGAATACGTGCCGAGTGTGCTACCGTTACACCATGTAGGCATGCTAGAAGGAGGGAGAAAATATAATTATATATTCCCTTGTGAAACAGTGACTGGGAATTAGGGAAGCCAGTCCCTAAATCCTGATGACGAATTATTGGCCACCACCTTTTAGTTCGCGAGTCACCTGTATAGTTATTTTCTTACTTTAAAGCAGGTGACATGAAAAATGAGCAGTGCCCTCGCCAGGACTCAAAACTGGACTTCTCGAATACGTGCCGAGTGGGCTACCGTTACACCACGAAGGCATGCTAGAAGGAGGTAAAAATACATTATATACTTGTTAAACAGTGACTGGGGATTGGGGAAGCCAGTCCGTAAATCCTGATGACGAATTATTGGCCACCACCTTTTAGTTCGGGCGTCACCTGTATAGTTACTTTCTTATTTTAAAGCAGGTGACATGAAGAATGAGCAATGCCCTCGCCAGGACTCAAAACTGTACTTCTGGACTACGTGCCGAGTGGGCTACCGTTACACCACGAAGGCATGCTAGAAGGAGAGAGAAAATACATTATATACTCTGTTATTAAACAGTGACTGAGGATTAGGGAACAATTCCCTAAATCCTGGTGACGAATTATTGGCTACCACCTTTTAGTTCGGGCGTCACCTGTATAGTTACTTTCTTATTTTAAAGCAGGTGACATGAAAAATGAGCACTGCCCTCGCCAGGACTCAAAACTGGACTTCTGGATTACGTGCCGAGTGTGCTACCTGTACACCACGAAGACATGCTAGAAGGAGAGAGAAAATACATTATATACTCTGCTATTAAACAGTGACTGAGGATTAGGGAACAAGTCCCTAAATCCTGGTGACGAATTATTGGCCACCACCTTTTAGTTCGGGCGTCACCTGTACAGTTACTTTCTTATTTTAAAGCAGGTGACATGAAGAATGAGCAATGCCCTCGCCAGGACTCAAAACTGGACTTCTCGAATACGTGCCAAGTGTGCCACCGTTACACCACGAAGACATGCTGGAAGCAGAGAGAAAATACTTCATAATTGCTTAATGATTTGCCTCATACTGCTTTAGTTCCTCTCATTTGCGAAACTATTACTTGTCAATGTAAACATTGCTCATCTGAGTGCATCCACGCTACATAAATGTTTTTCTCTTCGCCATTCTTCCTCTATCTTTCTTTTTTCATCTTTCTGAATCGTATTAACCGAAATGCTGATGTCACTTCTAATGCTTCAAATAATAACTTAAGTAGCAATAAATAATAATTAAAGTAAATAACAGCTAAAGTAAACAACTCACAACTTAAAAGCTCGTTCCTGTCATAATATCTTAAAACTAACATCAAAGTAGCATCTTATCTGTTTTCCAAAGTGAAAGCTTTAAAACTTCTAATCGTATTTTAAATTGCTTTACAAATAATTGCCATCAACAGTTTTAAAACCAAGAATATTAAATTAAACATTTCGATATTTTCTAGTGTTTTTAAAAATGCCATGTTTTAAAATTGTGTTTCGGGGTATTAATAGTTCATATAAGCTTTGTGAATAAACATATCAGAAGAGCCAAGAAAATTAAATAAATAAATGTGAGAACACAGAATTCTCACAGTGCCATCATCGATTATTGTATCGTTATCACGCGCTAGCACGTGCGTCGATGTGTATAAAAACTGGAAGGACTGATTTGTCTCTCTCTTCTCCCTCTTCTTCTGGCGGACGTCGTGTTAACGACTGTGTGTGCAGTCACCATCGTTCCTGCATATTTTGCACGTGGAATGTCATCGTATTATGCAAAGAAAGAAGCAGAATTAAGAGATGTAATATCTAAAGTAAAATGCTCGGTTTGAGACTCACTAAGTCCTGCTGCCGTGAATAACATAAAATAAACGCTCAAGCAGAATATCAATAGGTGTTCGACTTCAAGATGTGCTTGACCAGCGACACGGTCACCACGTGGTGATAAGTGTGTTAAAAAATTGTGAGTGTGAAAAAAGAAGAGCTTGCACGTGTGAAACAAGACCGCGCGATAATACGAAAATGAACATGACAAATTTTCAACCGCAAAATTATTCGATGAGACAGGATTGCACGAATAGTCACGTTTAGGCACTCCACGAACATTCCATTTTTAGTTATCGCATTGTGCGTATCTACGTTATGATATTTTAATATTTTATATGTGTGTGATAAATGTGCCTTATTTAATCCAGAAAATGTGTTTGATAAAATAAATGCGAGATTGGAAAAAGAGAGTATTCGGCTCATGCATGCATTATTGGGTAAGTCATCTTATTCTATTTAGTAAAGATCATGCAATGTACTAACCACTAAATTTTAATTTAACGATTTTACGCGGAAGTAATTTGTATTTGATATTCTTAGTATCGGTACTTTCAGGCGGTCACGCCAACAACACCACATTAATGGTGCAGTAACACAACAAAAAATAAAGCAAAATAACCGAAATTAAGAACCTATTTTACACCCCAAAGCAATTTCAGAAGTGAAGATATATAAAAACGAAAACAATTCCATTAATTATATTAATAACTCATTAAAATTTAACAAACCTACATTCAAAGATTAAAATTGCTTATAAGGGCGAGGCGAATTCGAGATTTCGGCAAGTTTTATCAGAAGGAGCCAAATCGTCGATAGTTATTGGAATCCGGCAAATATTATTAACATATTGAGGAAAGGAAAAAATACAATTTATAATTATGACAATAATGCAAATGAATAATACAAAATAGCCCATTTAACATTATACATAATATAGGATACATGACTCTTGTTTTTTTCATGTATACAGCGATGTGTTTTCACTTTAGGGAGCATCAGAGAATTGCATAAATTCGACATTACGCAAATTCGGGTATACATGTAAGATATAACAAAATATGATAGCTGTTTCAAAAAAATAATTGGCGACCTCAAAATTAGCATTCTAAATTTGGTGATCTGCCCCTAAATTCCTCTCTTCTCACAGCTTCCAGATTTTTCTATCTTACGTAACGTTTTAATGCAGATGCCTCTTGTCCAATCAAATTAATTGTAAACCAAAACTCTGAACTGAAACTTTCCCAACCTTCTTCCTCTGAAAGTACTGTGGGAAAAGGCAACGACCATAGTTGATAACACACATTTATTACTATTTACAAATATAGATTGCATTAGGATTACAATTAATGAAAATGGTATACGAGCGATCAAGCAACGTCTGCTCGGCTCGCCAGCTAATCCTCGTCTTCTCTCGAAGGCGGGAAACACATGCTGACGCAATGCATACGTCACACAGTAGGGGATTAGGGAATATCATGACATAACATTTCCCACAGTACTCTAACTCTTTCCTTTTCCGCATAAGTTCTCCTGCTGGCAAGATGCTTTTTATGTATGCCGCTGCCGCTTACTTGCTTAAAACGACATCGTACTTCAAAGTGAAACTTACTGTATTCAAATATAATTAGGAAACATCTTGTTTAAAAAAGGTATGGTTTGATATACGTAAAAAAATAAAGATTCTGATTTTTCAAGATACGTTGTGCTCAATTGCGTCATCATGCTTTCCACTGTGCCACCTTCAACCCTTTAAGGTCTTCTCGGTCACCTACGCAGTATCATAAGGTGTTCAAAGTCCACTGTTTTTATCTACACATTTGTAATCATTACATATGTATATTATATTCATTTCCCCCTCTCCCGTGTACATAGCGATCCGTTTCGATTTAAAACACATCATAGAATTGCACAAACTCGGCATTGCGCAAGGTCTCGACATTGCGTTATTAAACATATTGTAAGTTATATAGTACATTACTGTTGTGCTGATATCATCCACTGTAAAATTATCCAACACTACCATTCTACACTCAAATGTGCGATGAAAAGTTAAGTGCAGTTATAAAAATAAATAAATAAAACAAAGTTGCCAAAATAAAATCATTATGAGAAACAAAATCTGATGTGTACACTACATGACTTCCTTGTACGGAATATTAAATTATACGCATTTTTTTTTTTTTTTTTTTTTTTTTTTTTTTTGCATTTCGTTTAAATTTATTGAATTGAATTAAACCTACTTCGCCGACAGCGCATAAACCACAATAGAATAAATGAATTCTTTAAAATTCACTCTATTTGTTTACCATAGCGACACTCTGGCGCTAAGTTCACTTAACAGTATTATATTTCGTTCATATTATAACTCAGAAGGCACAAAATTTATATCATTTAAAGAATTATCTACTCGTTGCCACATGTTCTATTCAAATACTATAATAAAGCTAAAATAATGTATAAATGAAATTAAGCAAACGAAACAAAAAAAGAAACAGTTTTTCACAGACGATTGAGTATTTCTCATTCAATTAATTCAGTTCTCACTTCGCGACAAGGCAAAAATACATAAAAACTCAAAATATCTGTATTAAAAATGACGAAGTAAATCCTA